TTGATTTGAGCAGTTATGCAGGGCAACACTGTGCATAACCACTATACAGTTGTGTATAAACAAAATAGGTACTCTAGACAACCCTTTAATAATTGCCTGCAGCTCCTTGAAGCTCCTTAATGTTCAATTAATCAGTGCCTGGCTCTCTGGCCCCAGCGTCGATTCTAGTGAACAGCAGTTGTCTCAAGCACCTGGCTGGTATTTCAAAAGTGGAAATAAAATAAAGAGCAATAGAAGAGATCTGGCTGGTTTTCCATTGCATTTATTGGGTTGGTCATCATGTTCTTTCAAGTCGTAAACTTGGTGTCCTTTTCTCCAGTCTGGCAAAGTCGGTGAATGTGTGCACATTTTTATATAGGGAACAATCATAAGAGTTAGAAAATATAAATGAAGATATATACATATATAGACACATATATGCTCTGGCCCAACACTACACAGGACTAGTTAGTTCAGTAAGCAAATCTTCAGGATCTCCATCTACCTGTTTACAGTAGGTTTTGAGGAGATCGATTCTGTAATAAAAAAAAAGAAAAAAAATAGTATTGCAGTTACCAAAAAAAAAAAAAGCCAGAAGCAGCAGCCTGCTTGCTTGGTATTTACATTACCAACCCTATATATTATGGAAGTCTTTACTTACATGGCCATTTGTTATTTTTCCCATGAATAATCTACTCTCCCAGTACATGGGATCTTCAGGTGTGCAGCACATTCGAGGACATGAAAGTGTTTGTTACCTGCAGAATTTTTCTCTTTTGTGGTAGAAGTTGACCCTATATAGAGAATGTCTCATTCTTGTCCTGAGGTATCCTTTGGCAAATGCAGACTCAGTTCCTTCATTGATGCTCTTGGCAGTTACTGCAGAGTAGGACTATGTACAGGGCAGGTGATCACTGAGGGCTGCAGCTCATGTACAATACAGTACATGGTATCTCATGGCCTCAAACTTAACACGGGCCCATTTTAAGCTTCTTAACGCACGTAACACTGATCTGCCTGATACAGAAGGCCCCATTCAGAAGCTTGGTGTTCAGATTATAATGTCAATGAGACTAAGTGCAATGGTACAGTGACATTAAGTGTTAATGCTTTTTCAATGAAAAAGATCCAAAGAAATTTAATATTTGCACCCAGAGGGCACTATTTCAATAAAGCCATCTAACAAAAATATAAAGGAAAAGTAACGTTTTCATTCATAGTCTGAAAATTCATACCCAGATGGAGAAATTACCTCATAGTATTCTTAAACCTTGGGTAAAAGTGCTTAATGCAGCAGAAGGGTTTTCCATCTGCAGCAGTTTTATCAGTCCTAAGCTGTGACCCTGTCTCCAAGGCAACTGTTTCTGGATATTAGATGTTAAGGATCTATAGAATAAATGAGAGGCAGTTGTGAAACGTACACATATAATCCTGTCAAGGAGAATAGCAATGAAATGCCAACACATGAAAAGGGGTGAGGGCAGCACTAGAAACTGAATTGCGGTCTCAAAATTGAGAATATAATAACTAACTTTTCTTCTCTGTTAATATTACCTTGGTAGTGAATAACCTGTACTGTTCTTGTTTTGTTTAATCTAGTTCTTTTATACCTCTTTTGCCTTACAGATGCATGAATGCACACACATGCTATACAAAATTTCCTTGTGAGATCCCCTTTAGTTGAGAAAGCACTAGAGCCACCACAAAAAGAAACTGCTACATCATGACTGGGAATCCTGTGCTGATATTTGCTCTTGCCATTCTGCTAGCATCTGTGTAGCTCCATATCACACAATTTCCAGTTGTTTTGGCCAGAAAGAAAAGAGAATGTAAACTTTGTCTTTTGTTTGCTACTTGGGGGAAAGGAAAATGAATTGAGATTACTTCTTGAGATTTTTATTGATACTCAGACTGGTAGAAGCCTAGTAAGGAGGACCAGGCCAGATACCAAGCTGATGAAGATGGTGCAGATGGCTAGAAAAACAGAGAGCTACTCATAGAAGGAAAAAAAAATCAAGTGCAATTAAGAAGCAAACCATAGGCACACAGGCCTGTCCAAGTCTGTCCAGTTGCACTGTCTCTTGTATCCATCACCAAGTATAATAAACAAACCAAACCCCCAATAACCTGAATAGTAACTACAAGATGTATCAGTGCAAGTCAGGGTGAGGGACTGGCACTTACCCATGAGAGGCTACTGAAAGATATTTGAGAGGTTTTATCAGATCATTCATGTCTACGAATTCTGTTTGTCTGGGGAGAGGAAGTATTGAGTACTTGAAAATAATACTGCCATAGAGCTTGTATCTGAAGCCGTAGGTCACAGTAAGGCAGAATTAACACGGTGTTGATTGAAATACTGAATACTAGTGTCTGAGCCACAAAAAATCAATCCCAAGGTACCTATAAAGTATGTTAGTGCCATGCAAACTGCACAGCACATTTCTGCTTTTGTGTACTAAATCAGAAGCACAGTCAGTTATATCTGAATGCATTTCTTTCTTCCAGAGATCATGACATATTTATCCCTGAGTACAGACTGAATTCAAACATATCAGGACTAACTCCTCATGATCCGAGTAGTGCCACAGGGACAAGCAAGATAATGAAGGAAGACCCCGTATGAAGAGTACATAAATCCACTTGTTTTTGTTAGTTTTTGAAGGAGGACATAAAGATACTATAGTTACTTGGTCTTACTTTGCCTGCTATATATAAGTCTTAGTGCTCTTGCTGCAGTCGTATGTAACACCCTTTCACCTTGCATAGCTGACGTACTGAATTTTGGTGAAATGTGCTTCAGAAATCTCAATTAAATCTCAATTAAACAAGCTATCAAAACAGAGAACTTCACCACCTCCTAGTGAATCGATCCAGTGATCGATCACCAGGAAATTCGAAAAAACAAGAGTGGCTTCTCAGCTTGATCTAAACTGTCGCTATCTTTTTTTTGAATTATTAGATGTGTTTAGCCATATGGGTTAAAATAAGTCTATTTATTTTGATTGTGATGTTTGCATGCTTTGAATAAAACACAAGTTTAAATGCTTTGTTGACAAGGCATGGGCTAACAGATGCCAGCTCTGTAATTAGTTCGCCTTGTATTCCTAGCTGGCAACTGCAACAGACTTCCTTATAACTGAGGACCAGGCACTAATGGATATTGACAATGAAATGAGAAGGCTCCCCCAAGCAGCAAAATGGGCTATAACAGCTGTACCGCCTCCCCTCTCTCCCCCCCCCCCCAAAAAAAAAAAACCACCCTCCCCAGCCATATCAGGCCTAGGACCTGCAAATTAGACTTGAGACTACTTAAGAAGTATCCTATTAACATTACACAATGGAGAGTCCATGGGTCTAAAACCAAAATCTAGCTATCTATTCTTTTCTCCTCTGCTAATATTCTGCAAATGTGTCACTTTCTTTTATGGACAAGATTCCCTTTCTGCTGTGAAGGCACTAGTGATGCAATAGAGTCTGAATTACTGGAACACAGATGTCTCTAAGAATATAAAATCTATTGAGAGAGCAGGAACATCTTTTTCCTTGCACACCTTCATTTAGTAGAGAGACATATGTCAAAGTTTATTTGTCAACCATTTAATTTCTTTAATCAACAAATGCAAAGTTTTGTATCAATGAAATATTAAAATATAAATATACATATAAATATTTCTCAGAAAACATAGCCTTTACAAAAATAAATAAATAGCGATCAAGCAGAACTCTCAACTAATTATATGTAGGAAATATTTTCCTCATTCTGCTTAAAGATGCATCATCATAATAAACCAGAGGTAATGATTTCATTCTAAGGACATTATCTATTAAATGTACCTCTTTTTCTTTCCTAGCAAAATTCTGTTGATGTGGTCTGATGGTGATATTTACTTCTCTGAATATATTCCTTGCTCACCATTTTCATAAAACAGTGAGGTAAAGAAATTCCAGCATATGGATTTTGGCAGACTATGGATTTTGACTATATGAGGTTATTTATTCATAGGACATAATCAAGCACTTCAGTCCTATCAGTTCAGTTTTTGACTGAATCACTAAGTATTTTTAAAGAGAATAGCAGCAGTGGCAAGGACAAAACCTACAGAGTTAAGTTTCTGAAGACGATTCCTGAAATGGTATGTAAAGTAAGTGTTACTCATTTTTTATGAAAAACGGATAAATATGAACACATAACATGGAGAAAACTTAACATGCTTATTTGCATTAAAAATGCAGTTATTTAAGCATCTGTAGCTATAAGCCATTACTGCTTATATTTAAAATAATGTATATGAGTAGTATCAAAACATACTTCAATAACAAAGAGGTGAATTAATATTGCTTCTGGATCTTACCAAAAATTGTACGCTCTGCTTTTTCTATTTAACTTTGTAGCGGTGTTGTGCATTACTTTAATTATCTGGGTGCAAGTGTGGTAATTAGAAGGTTGAGAACTTGGTGTTCCCAGTCCGACATATGGCTCTGCAGCATGGATATCTTGCCACGGAGTTAAACCAAGCCATGGCTTTTCATTTGTTTTATTATTGTTGTATCAGGTGGGTAGCAGTTTATGTTTGGCTAAGCCTTTAAAGTGCTGTTATTAAAAAGAATCAATTTTGAGGGAGAATTGCTATACAAATTGAAATCTTCCCTCTTGTCAGAAGAAGTGGCATACTGTGGTAACAAGGAGGCTGAACTGATTTGCAGCTTATGGATATAGTACTTAAACTTTCCAATATACCATGTTGGTTCACATGAGGAGAAGCAAGGAAATGGCCTGTTCACCTGCTCTCACCACGAAGTAGTGTGGTTTTAGGAAAAGATTTCCACCTGAATTTGCAGAGTTTCCCCAAATACTGTAATGTTACTCTGCTAATACACTGCCTTTCGTTTCAGCAAGACTTTTTGCTCTTTCTTGAATTCTAGTCATCTGTTTGCCTTTTGTGTCTTTTGTCATTCTTCACAAAATTTGTTTTCAGGCTGACATAAGCTGACTTAGAAATAGAGCTCTTTCTGGTGAGATGGGACCTATGATCAGAATTTATACAGAAATGACTGCAGCATTAATGTTACCCATTTATCTCCACGCTTCTGCAGGTTTTGGAATGACCACACCAGCAACCGTGGCTGGAAAAGTATTCCTCATTGTTTACGGCCTTTTTGGGTGCGCTGGGACTATTCTTTTCTTCAACCTCTTCTTGGAGCGTATTATCTCTCTCCTGGCATTTATCATGAAGGCTTGTCATGAGAGACAGCTGCGAAGAAGTGGTCTCCTACCTCCCAACTTCCAAAGAGGGTCAGCTATCTCCGGGGTTGGCAGCCTTGTTGGGTGGAAGCCATCTGTTTATCATGTGATGCTGATCCTTGGAATTTTTGCTATCACACTTTCTTGCTGTGCCTCAGCGATGTACACAGCAGTGGAAGGATGGAACTACATTGACTCCTTGTACTACTGTTTTGTCACCTTCAGCACCATCGGCTTTGGAGATTTGGTAAGCAGCCAGAATGCTGTATACCAAAATCAGGGATTATACAGATTCGGAAACTTTGTATTTATATTAATGGGAGTATGTTGCATATACTCTCTTTTTAATGTAATCTCAATTGTAATCAAGCAAATTTTGAACTGGGTGTTGAAAAAATTTGAATGCAGATGTTGCCCAAAGTGCCATAAATCAAGTGCCCGCCTTGGACGTCGCAATGCCATTACCCCAGGAGCTCGCCTGCGCCGACATAACATTTCTGTGGAAACTGATGGACAGTATGACAGCGACACAGAAGGGAGGAGGCTTTCTGGAGAGATGATCTCTATGAGAGAGCTCACAGCATCAAATAAAGTTTCACTGGCCATTTTGCAAAAGCAGCTGTCTGAGACAGCCAATGGCTACCCAAGGAACATTTGCATCAATACCAGACAAAATGGTTTCTCTGCAGGGGTGGGTGCTCTAGCCATCATGAACAACAGATTGGCAGAAACAAGTGATTCTAGGTAGAGTTTTTGAAATTTTCTTCTATAAGAAAATGATGCTTTCTTATTGTTTCTTTAATAAAACTAAAATGGTGATTAGAGTGGAATTATCGCCATAACCTCCTAGAAAGTCTTAAATACAGAGGCAGACTTGGTATTCATTGGACATTTAGGAGTTTAGTTTCTATTTTTTTAATGAGTCTTCTCTAATATGCAGTAACATCTTCACTGTAATGTTACAATTTTCCACAAAGCAGGTGATGGGAAGGACGTTGTACAGAATTTGATGCAATTTTAGAGGGACATTGTGCATAATTATGATGATGTCTAAACAACATATTATTTTTCAGAAAATAATCTGAACCAAACTGGGTTAAAGTGAATTTTGGGCAAACAGTTCCAGTTTCAAGCTTGAGGGATTAGGACCAGTATCTCACAGTTTGGTGAAGGATGGATCTGGCTGTGAAATTTGCACTTCGTGCTCTTCACTAACTCCTCATGCCAGGCCTGTATATAACATCAGTGTAGGTGACTGCAATTACACCATCTTCAGGGTGATTCTGATTATTCATTTGATAAATACTACTGATTTCAATGATAGAAGATCAGATTGACTTAGTTCTCCTGACTACGAATGATGTGTTTCAACCAGTCTTGTCTGAAACACTACCTGTTACCTACTCCTTAAAAGTCATGGAGTTATCAGTTAGAACCACCACATTAGAACATGCAAAACTATTCCTACCTGCTGAATAACTGAAAAACGTAACTGACAGCTCCAGCACTGACCTTACTCAAGGCAAGAGAGGCCAGTGTTCACCTCTGATGCCAAGTGTTTGCTTTGACACTGAAATGTAAGTTAAAAAGTTTATTTTGTTAGTTTTTTGAAAAAAAAGAAAAAGCTGCTAAAGTAAATGTAAGTTCTGTTGTCATAAAATTGTATTTTCAGCAATATTATTGCAGAGGTTCGTGAAAGATTTTCTTGGCAGTTCTTGATGGTCCCCAACACAGTACTTGTTTTCAACAAATCTGACAGTGAAGCTTGCAGGAAAGAGCATTGCTTCAAAACTTCCCCAAAAGCTAACTTCTTCCAAAAATATTGATATTAAACCATAAATTGGTCCATGTTACTGTATTAAGTCATATCATAGTAGCCTGAACTATTTAAGTACCATGAGACGTCTTCAAAGAAAGCTGCTTTAGGTCTCTAGTTCAGCTTCTTCAGTTGAAGAAAAAATTCTGCAAATCTCTTTTAGAACTATTTGCAAAGCTCTAAGTAATTTCTCTAAACTCTTTTTACTATGCTTACTTATGTACTATTCCCTTAATGCTGTGAAGATAGTAAAAAAGGCTTTGAATTGTGTTTGTGCAAGAAACACAATCCAAGCTTGAAGTCCGAGAAACCGGGGGGCCTCTTCTTGAAAATTGCCTGGATAGTAATAGTCAAGGTTTCTTGCTGAACAGAGTGAAAAAAGTTGGCATATTGGAAATGTTTGAAAATATTTCCACTAAGCTTCATACAGATATTTTGTTAGTGGAGCCTCCACCGTTTTGCTTTTCTTTAAATTTATAGAGTGCAAAATGTTTTGGAAATTTGGCATTTAAACTTGGAAAATTAACTTTTAATTACACCGCTTGAAGTTTTCCACAATTGTGACTGCCAGCTGAAGGGTAACAGAGATTATTATATCTTTGGTCTAAAGGAAAAGGAATTGGAGCAGTAGCTAAAACATAATGCAAGGATCATACTGTAAATGCAGCCAGCACTTTTGTCAAGATACGTGTGGCAAAAAATGCTCAGTAATTTATGTTTTGTATCTACGATACTGAATCATAACTAAGAACACTCAGAGACAGCATTCAAGCAGCATTCATCTGACAAGAGCTTCCTTCATGACAGAAAGACCCCTAAATAGCACCCATCTGAATGTGTGCACTTGCTGTCTCAAAGTCTACATTTTAGTAGCCTTCTTTCAGAGGTGATGGAGAAGAAGGTCAAAGTGGTTGGTGATGCTCAGTTAAAGTCCACTGAAGGTTTAGATTAAGCTGGATCTTTAGGTCTAGGTCCTGTTCTGTGAAAGACTCAAAAGACTCAAACTGCAAAGACTTACAGGAAAGCTGCAGGGATCATCTCTGGAAACAGCAGAGGCAGAGAACTGAAAGAACTGAGGATTTTTCCTTTCCCCCTCCCCAGGAATACCCCAAGGGGTAAATCTATTATTATTTATGATAATAGTTCTGTCTGTCTAATTATTATTAGACAGATGCCATCCCAAAGGACTTCCCATTTAAATAGCTAGGACTCCAAAACACAGCATAGTTACATAGGTTTGGTAACTAGATACTAAGGTTTATTCATTTTACTCTTAAAAACAAGTTAAAATATGTTTAGCATTCTGTGTTCTCAAGAACTATATTTTGTGTATGTTTTTGCAAAATGAGGGGGTTTATTTTTTCAGTAAGATTTTTTAAAAAGATAACTATTATAACTGTCCTTCAGGATTTGTTTAAATATTTGTAAACTGTTTTCAAACTACTTATATTATTCCTGCGTGCAAAATGTGATGAAGTAATATGAAATTGTACAAACCTCCACTGCTATTTCTGTGCTTTTTCTGAATCAATACTGAGGCAGACAGAGGCTGTTGTAACATGATTTAAAAGTTTCTGATTCTTCTTGTTCATCTGATCTGAATGGACTCAGGGCAGTTCCTTTGCAGTTCCTGTTGATTTCGGTAGATGTTAAATTGGCTCCCAGATCTGGATTCCCCAAGAGATTTGGGCAGCTGGTTGCTATTCTATGCACTTATGTCTGACATTTCATCACTCCCAAGATCCTCGAAAAACTCAATTTTGCTGCTTCTCAGTGCAAATATCCCTAACTATTGACACTCCTGTCATGTGGACCTCTATCTTGTATCTATGTTGATAAAATTTCATGGAGCTGTCTAATTCAGCAAGCCCTACTTATTGTGAGATTTAGAGCCTACTACTGACTTGGGTCTCACTGGAGAGCTTCTGACAAGAAGTGGCCTTAGAGTTCCTTCATTTTCATATTCATTAGCCAAATTATTTTTCAAGGATGCAGGGAGACTGACTCCAAATCCCTATTTATCTGCCCAGCCTGGGCACTCTCATTGTATGCATGAGTACACTAGCCAAGAGGAAATAGGTGATTCTGGGTTCAGTCTTTCTCAGTCCATCCTGCCCTTTCTTTAGCTTTCTTATGGCAAATTCCCATGGAATTTACAAAAATTGGTCACGTAATTCTTCCATTTATTGCATATGGTGCAACACAGGATTCCCCAGGGCAATTGGCTCCATCTGTGAATTCAACACTAAACACACAGCAGCTGCAGGAAATGCAATGCCTGCTTGTATTGCGTTTTCACAGATAGAGCAGATACCTGGACACAGACTGAAGCACAAGAAATGCAGAAGGAAACTGAAGGAACAGAGTGGGAAAATGAAAGCACACTGCACTAAATTGCACTTTCTTTTCAGGTAACTTTAGGGTTATATTACATTCTCACTATGTTGTTTTTTACAAGGTTTTATTTTTGGACAGCCTTGTAAAACTAATTTCCATGAAAAATGCAAATAACCTAGGATCAAAACGTTAATCCTCCCCTCTGCATCATGGTGCAAAATAGCAGGAGTAACTCCTACCTGAGCCAGATGCAGCCATCACAGTGTTACTCAGATGCTGTGCTCCAAACTAGTGTTTTGCTGTTTTGAGCCTGAGGAGCAGCAGAAAGCTACAGTACTTAGGTCGCCCTTTGAGCTGGCACCTAATGAGAAAAGTGCCTGCATAGGCAGGCACTGCTCAGCCCTCCATCAAGAAGGAAGGAAAGCCTCTATTCACCCGACCCATACTCTAGTACCTTGCAGATGAAAATTAAAATGTAAGTGCAAAATAACAAGGTACAAAGACCAAATTCAACTGAAGTCTTTTCTTTCTCTTAGGGAAGACAGTATTTACCAACTTCTTGTAAAACCTGAAGTGTTTCCATGCTTCAGGTGGCTTTAAAAAGTCAATAAATTTACTTTTTGGTATTTCTCTTTCCCATGTGTGTCTCAAACAAATCTTAGAGACACACTGACATATGATTAGATTGTTTTTTTTTCCCATCTGAAAATACACTTCAAGATTTGTGGGGGGAAAAAAAAAGAAAAACACATTGCTTATTATTTCCTTAAAATGTAAAGCATGTTCTTCTGACGATATAAATGTTCAAATAAGTAATCTTACCAACCTTGGTAACAAATGGAAGTTTTTGAAGCACAAGTTCTAGTTTGCCTGTCTCCCCCTAGAAGAAGCATTTCATAAATAACTCCTATCAGTCGTAACAAGAATTACAAATATACTTCAGGAGGTAATTGGGGCAGTAGAAAGCTGAATGAAAGCAGAAGCAAGAAGGTCTGTTACAAAGGAAATCAGTGCCTCTTTGACATGTGTGTGCTAACTGAGAACATAATTGCCAGCATTTTGCAGACCAACTTATTGGGGAAAGCCAAGAGACGTGTAAGAATCATTTTAAAGTACTTGGAGAACTCACCGTTGCCTGTGGTTATGCAGACATGTGTTGTGATGTTTCCTGTTGGTTTAGTGTTATAGTCCTAGCAGAGCTTCAGGCCTCCAATTTGGCCTTAACCTCCTCTCCTTCTCCCTAGGTTTCTGTGGGTGAAAATTTGGCTGTATTAGGACCATTTACATCTATTTCAGTCACCTTTTTGCTTGTTACTGAAAGGACAACCTAAGCAACGGAGAAGCCATAAAGCCAGGTATATATTACAGGTTGGATATAAGCCCGATTGCTTGTATGGGATAAATTTACAATTATACAGAAATTATCTGTGGCATGGAGACCCTTCTCATTTTTGTGTATATGTGTTTTCAAAACTTTTTAATTTGAAAAAACTATTCAGTGGCTAATTATTCTGATGAATGTTCAGACATAGTTTAAATAAAGTCATGCTTTGGGTGATGCTGATTGCTAGCATAGAGAAAACCTATGGATATGGCTCAAATGGCTTCTGCTCTAATTGGATTACTAATGTGCCTTTCCAACCCAACACACATTTTCAGTGCTATATTTAAATAATAAAAATAATGTTATGTTACATATTGAATTCAATTGGGCCTATTAATACTTGACTTACAAAAAATACTAATTTAACTTACTAAGTGTAAACTGCACATTTTATAGCTAATATGCAATTCAATTTTTTG